TATTTTTTTTTTTAAGGAATATTAGTTAAGGTATGCACTTCATTTCTAAATAAGCTACAATTGAGGAAGCATTTATGTAATCTCTCTACAGCAGGAACATTCAGAAACATTCACATTTGAAAATGTTGTTGCACCAGTACATCTCAAAAGCTACATCTGTGTGAAGAGCTTAATCTTTGGCAAAGTCCAAAAAGCTGTTGCCATGCTTAGAGCAGAATCTCTATTTTAGCATCTGAAAAAAAGATGTTTCTAGCTATCTTAGTTTTCCAAAGTCCTTCTACAGTGAACAGTGTGCAAGTGAGAAATCCTTCCAGTAAAGATGCCTGTAGAGATGTCTGTCTCTGGTGATTATAAAAGAAGCACCTGTAATCTAAGCATCTTCCAGTAGATGTTTAGCTTTAAGACTTAGGAAATTAGGTGAGATGAATCCTTTTGCTAACATTTACATATAAAGCTTCTGTAATGTGGATTCCCAGAACTTGACCTTTCAAGCTTAACCTGATATCTGAGCCAGTGGCTGAAGCCAGACTTCCTGGCATTTCCCACTGTGCTGTCTTGGTGTGAAAAGGCTTAAGGAGTCATTTCCAGAATGAGAACATCTACTTACCATGCTGTGTTCACGTGGACATCAGCACTGCAAATCAGCATTAAGCAAACAAACTCAAAAGAATCACTTAGGCTACTAAGTCTTAGGCCTGTCTTTGACTTTCCACCTATTGAAAACTGTTATTTGTCAGTTTAAAATACAAATGTCATCTTACCTTCTCACCAAAGAGTGGTCCACATGTGATGAGCTGCTTAAAGAGAAACCAGGATTCACGTAAGTATCCATAGTTCTGCATAAGGTCCATACCTTCCCTACAGAAACTTTGAATTCAGTGCACAGTCAACTCTCAAGTTTACTTATCCTGGATTTAATACTTCAGAGTTGGAAAATTCTGTTCAGAAGAAACAAAGATACTACAAAACATCTATGAACCAAACAATGAACTGAATTCCTTTTTGAAAAACCTAGTACACAGGTTTCAGTAGAACACAGGAGCAGCAATGGGAAAGGCATAGCCTAGTGTTTACGAATTATACAAAACATGGTGCTGTGTCAAAAGCAGTAGTGTTAATGGCACATGAAAACAGATGAGTCTAAACTCCAAATAATGCTCAAGAAATAAATGGAAACTCTGTGCATGGGTAGAATTTTGGATGTCATATGAACGTAACAATTACCATTTTATCAGGCCTAAATCCTGCCTTGGTGAACACTGTGTCTTTGGCAACTCTTATTCTCTTTCTTTGTTAGTCTGCTTGCATCTCAGTTATGTCCAGAATTCCCAGTAAAATCAAGATTCTACTATCAAAGCATATGGTCAAAGTCATTCTCTGCCCCAAAGAATTTATAGTCTGAAACTGGGAGAACCTCCAACTTGTTGGAGCTACCCTACTGACATAAAATGATCTCTCTTTTGCTCTGGTAAAATATCCTAAGCATCTACTTAAAAGGTGCTGAGTGACCTCATTTAAACCAATCCTTAGGATTAGGCACACTGTTTGTTTAAACTTTTTTGAGATCCTGAGATACAAGAAGCTTTGGAAGTGCAAAGATTTTTTAACTGGCTTAATATGTTTTTGTGTTTATTTGTAGATGTAGAACTTACGCAGTATAAAATTTGACAGCTAAGACTAGTCATGAAATTTCACCAGGAAAATAAAAACCTGTTAACAATTTGCTGACATTCATGAAAACCCTTAAATGCTTCCAAATCTGCTTCCAGGTATTCACATGCAAGAATCTGAGAATTTTTGCATTGCAAATATTAGCAAATGCTTTTTAAATCATGCTTGCTTTTCACACACCATTTATATAAGAGCTTTTTGAGTAGCAGCAAATTGTAGTCCTATTAAATTTCAGTTCACCTTCACACTGGTACTTGAGTAAAAAATTGTTTTTTGGGGTATTTTAGAGACAATCCAAGAGTACATGTCAACAATTAAGGATCTGAACATAAAGTTGCAAATAAGAAAATATGCTATTAATAATGAATAGGGAAGCTTTTATCTGTTTTACACATGTGAGCAGTTCAGTCAGTTTACTAATCATTGTATTAGAACAGAGAAGACTGTGTATGCCATTTCGCCATTTTTTGAATTTCTCTGTTTATGTGTGAGGAGGGCAGCAAACATAAACAAAATAAAAAATTCACTTTAGCGTCTTTGGTTACTTATCAGGTTTGGATAATATTCTGTTTAAGGCAGCCACTTATTTTTTAAAGAATAATTTTTTTAAAGACAGTAGCTTTTAATTTTGCGATCCTAATACTTCTCTGTGGGTTTATTTCTAGGATATTCATCCTAATTTAAGCATCTGGAGAGTGTAAGCACAAGTGGGAAATGGAGAGAAAATTTTGCCTTTTTTTCTTTCTCTTGCATATATCAAGTTTGTCAAGCCTATTGGTGAGTCATGTCCAGCAGTTTTAATAGTTTAGTCTCATTAGTCATTAATTCACTGGAGATGATAATATTTTTTTATCATTTATGGTTTTGCTTCTTAATGGTTCTGCTGTCTTACCCTAAGGAGTGCAGAATTGGGCCAGGCAGGGAAATAGGAACATTTGCAGTTAATCTGTAAGACTGACTGTTACTCCCTATTACCCCTCATTAGTATCCCTTGCACTCCCTTTTCCTCATCTTTTCCTCATGCCGTCCAGCTCCCAGTCATATGGATCTCTGGTAGGTTCAGTGAGGAGGATGAGCAGTCCCAGTACCCTCAGTGTACAGCTGAAACTGTATCCAGCTCTTGCATCCCAGTGGTCTCTTTGTGGACAGAGGAGGTAGCAATCACACGCACCAGAATCAAAACTGGCTGTTGCAAATTCCCCCTGATGTGTTTTTGTTCATGCCTTCCTAAAAGGTTTGCCAGAGCTTGAAGCAGCCTAGGCATTTAAAATTTAGCTTTACTCCTCTGACCCTGACTCCTTCTCTTTCATTTGCACTGCCTTCCTTTTGGGAATTTCCAGGAAGAATATGGTGGTAGAGTTGTCTATAATCTGTGTATGCACATAAAGTGTGCCTTCATGTTACTGCAGGACCAAAATCCAGGCAGTTGTCTGCTTTAAGTTATGCCTCTTTCTCCTTCTCCTGAAGCTGGACCTGCTGCAGTTTTGTGCCATTGGTGGCCTCATTTTGATCTGCTCTAAACCCAGGCATTGGAGCAATGCAGTTGTGCCAAATAACTTCTGCAAATGCGCTGGGAAGAGCAAGGTAATAGAAAGAAAAGCACCTCTGCTGAACTTCTTTTCCCTCCTCCCATCATTTCTATAAACAACTTCTGATGAGGAAAGTGGGAATTTGGTGTGAAGAGTGGAAAGAAGACATCAGCTTGGAGAGGCAAGGGAGACTGGCAAGGGCGACTGGCAAGGGCAGGAGCTTGGGAGGGGGGTTAGCAAGCCAGAGCCTGGGGGAAACTAGGTCTGTCTGGAGAAATAGAGTACAGAGCTCACAGTAACTGCAGATGTGTCATCACTCCCAGTGGGCTTAGTGGCTCAGGCTTTCTTGACAAAAGGTGATTGCATGCAGTTGCCTAAGGAGCAATGTTAAATCAATCTTATAATTTTCTCTATTTCTCCAAGATACCTTGTTTATTCTCTGTTATTTCATCTCAGAGGGTCTTTTTCATAAGGGCTTGAAGGACACCTTAATTAACAGCAGCAGTAATGGCTGGCAGGGAAGTAGCAGCATGTGTCCCCTTTCCTGCCCTGCCTTTTATTTGGTCAAGGAAGTCACTTGCACTTTCTTTCATCATTCTTCCTACTCTCTCCCTCCCCCGTGTCCTGACTCCCTGCCCAGATTCAAGAGCTTGAAGGTCTGCTGGTGGTAGCCGTGGTGGCTGCAGGGAGGAGGGAAGGGGGGAAAAAGCAGAGGGAGTAAAATAAGTGTCAAGGAATTCATTGTCTGTTCTCCACCTGTTGTTATTCTGGTCCCAATCAACCTGCTAGCCAGGCTGGAGCCAGTGGCCATCTGGAAACACTGCTCTGTTTATAAACTTGGCATGAAGCAGCACTCCCGGGCCCTGACCTCCCACACAAATCTGGAAACAATTAGAGCAAGATGATAGGCAGGCAGGCAGGGAGAGGAGGGGAGGGAAAGAGCGTGTGAGAGAGGAGGCTTCGTAGAAGGGGAAAAACAGACAGAGCGAAGGGGAGCATGGAGAAGGTGGCAAATGTTTCTGAGATGCAAATATTTATGCCCACCTTAAACGACCGCTGGCTCATTAATTATTGCCCTTGCCAAAACAACTTTTTTTTTTTCCACGAAGGCTAAGGCACGCCTCTTTGCTTCCCGCAGCAGCACAGGTTTTCCAAATTACATTGTATGTTTTACACTGCTAAAAGTTTGACTTTACAACTCTTAGGAAATTGAGATGGGTCTGTTAGGTACACATGCTAAGACTCATACATGTTCTGTACTTGGTGGTATTGAAAACTGGAGTCCAAATATTGCAGCTCCTACCCATCTCTACAAGGAGTAATGTCTTTCTCTGCTCCTCACACCCCCCAGTATGCTGCTTTCCAGAAAGAATGGCTGCCAGTCTCCAGCTCTCTGGAGTGTGGGAGTCATTTGGGCTCAATTCTCTCAAGCCTTCTCTTGCCCCACCCTACCCACCCACTCCTATTGCAACTCATTGTTGTCTTTACTGGGAAGACTGTGCTTTTCCTGGTCAAACCAGACCTTCAGTCACTGGGTTACTCCCTAGCTCCTCTTTGGATTTTGGACCCTTTCCCAGCCCTGCTCTTGCCGTGCAGGTAGGCAGCCTGCCCATCAGCAACCTGTTCCAGTGACTCTCTTGAGGAGAGTAAGGAAGAGCCACATCTCTTCACAAAACAAACCCATGCATTTCACTTTCTGGATACACGGTGTGGGCAATCCTGTCTGTTCTCTGGGTGGTTTTAACATAGCTAATAGAGATGCCAGTGTGTTAATTCACTTCTCATAATGTGTCCTTTCAGTGCAAGAGCTGCAAGAGCGAGTCCTGCCTGGTTGAGACAAACCGGACATTCATTCCTGCTGGCCTGCCCAAGGGAGGATACCTTTTGGCTCACCTGACAAATCTGCTACTAACACATCCTGAGAAGTCAAGTGTTGTGTTTCAGGTGCAATAAAAACATGGCTCCTTCGTGGTGTGAGGAACTGCTCGTGGTGACATTGAATTTCTCTCAGAGTGCATCTCAAGAGATCCCTGTACTTGCACTAGGTGTGGCCCTGGCAGCCACGGTCAGAGCTGCTGCTGGGGCAGCAGGACCCGAGCCAGTGTGGCATATTGTGCAGTATAACCCACATCTTTTCATTTCCTCAATTTTCTTCACGCACCAGTCCTAGTATGCCTTGCTTGTGAGGTACATTAAAGGTTTATCTGCCCTGTAATTCAACCATAAAAAGCTACAGCTCAAAATGCCCAAGATAATTTCTTCCATGATGTTGGACTCACCTCTGGTGTGTACCTCTGGGCAGCCTTTTGCCCATTGGTCTCACCAGAGTGAGTGGTTTGCCTCAGCTATTGTGTGCTGGCGACAATACAAGCATGGCCCAAGTAAGACCAAGACAACTGATAATGCTTTAATGCATAATACCAGCAGATCAGAAATGATCAACTGCAAGATGAGGGCTGTTTGATTTTCATGGCTCCTAAGGAGTGGTATGTTATGAAGTGGTGGTTGTGGTTTGATGGGGGAACTGTTCTGAATGCTACGGGAAGCGCACAGGGTCCACTCTGCTTGTGTCATGTATAACAGTTTCTCCATTATCTGATGCTGATTTTCCCTCAAATGGTGAGCTATCTTCATTGGATACACACATAGTATTTGTGGACTTATTCTACGGTGTTTGAAAGTCTTTTGAAAAGTGCTTAAAAAGACTTTTCCTCTCCAAGGGAGTTCAGTGGTTCAGACTCGTTAATCTGAATAAAATATTGCTATCATAATTAGTGCTAATTGGCAGCTTTGTTTGCAGCCTCATCAGAGTCAGTGATTAGCTAAACAGAGGTTATAAATACATGTCTTTACTACAGATAAATAAAGGGCTTTAAGGTCAACTACTGCTAAACCAGCACTTTTCAGAGCACTGTGTTCATGTACTGCCTCCTTCCCTTACCAGAAATTTGTGTTTCACAACCACTGGTTACTTTTCTCAGATTTGCAGTAAGCATCGAGTTATTACGTTAATGTCTGGTATGGCTGTTTCTATGCTGACCCACTAAGGAACACATTTTGTTTTGACATGGCCTTGGAAACTTAAAGGAGTACAAAATGCACAACATGTAGGCATGTAAAAATAAATACAGGGAACCCACCAGACATGAATAGCAAGGAGGCTACAAGCAATTCAGCCATAGGGCTAAGAAACAAATGGTTTCTTTATGTGGCTCTGGCTGTTCGGTAGCTGTACTTCAGAGCAATGTAATGGGTTTTAATGTTCATAAAAATGTTCAATCTGGTAAACCAATTTTTAGACTCTTACACAGTCTTGTTGAAATTGGATTCATTTGAACTGCAATATAAAATATTATGTTTACTTAACCCTTGTAAACTGATCTCCTTTGTCTTCACAAACTTGCTGGGCAGTTAAGGACCTAACATTCCTTCCACAGTTAATAAAATTGTGCATTTTTCTCTCTATTCATAAATTTAATTACGGTCAGACCTGGTTAATCAACATCAAACTTTTTTAATACTCATTCTTTTAGGTAGCTTTGGATTGAAAAATACATATGAAGGTCATACACTGAGACTTTGTATATTATTCAGGTTCCAGAAGTCTGCTTGGATTTTTTCTGTGTGCAGCCCTGCAGATAGTGCAACTTACATCAGCTGAGGGCTGATTACACCTATCATGCAGATAGGTATAATATCTGCATGATAGGTATAGATATTATCTGCATAATAGATAAATAATGTCAGAGCTTTGCTCTTTATAAAAGATGATAATCTCTTTCTGTCCTCATTTTTGAATAAAAGTCCCACTGATGTGAATGGCAGTTAACATTCAAAGCTGTTTCTCTGTTCTTCTCTCTACCCATTTCCTGAATTTTCATCTGTCTTACGCCAGGGTCCCTGGAGATATTTCATACAGGCATTTCTATGTTACTTCCAAATGGGCAAGAATAAACTGCATTCCATATGGCCATTAGGTAGCCTTTTTGCTACATGTATATTGCATTTCCCAAGGCACTCAGGATTTACAAAAATCCTTGAATGGTACAGTTGATGTTGATCAAAGAGCCCGTGATTCAAGAATTTATGAAGAAAGATTTTGAGGTTTTCTGTCTGAAATTTTGCAGGGAATACAGTGGCTGGAGTAGTGTTTAAAAATCCTAAAGATTTTACTGGAGTTAGCTGGTCAGTAGGAGTGAAATCCCTTTACAGCCTTAAAAGACGATATAACTTGGTGTGCACGTTTGTTAATTTAACAATGAATGCCTTGCACTTGGTTTGCATGGATTGTTGAGCTCCTGGGGACCATCTCACCCCACTTTCAGTGTGGAATATTAAACAAAGTACAAGATTAGAATTTTAACTAAAAGTGAATAGTGAAAGGACATAACATGCTGCAAGCTTGGCTTTCACCTCAGAGCTGATTAATGACCACAGAAGATAAATGGAAAAGGTCAAACCTATCAATTTTAAAACACAGAGCAATTACAGAGCTGCCATTTCTTAAGTTCAAGCTTCCTGCTACTATAAGTCCTGCTTGCAGTGGCTTATGCTGAATGGTCAGTAAGGCTTATGAGAGCACTTTGCATAAAGCTGAATTCTATCAGGGCTACTTTTCAGCTGTGAATCAGATACACTTTTGCGTGTAAGCTCAATATTCTGATACTACTAGGATAGATGTGAAGCTGTGCAGGATTTAAGCAAAGCACCTACCATAATGAGGAAAGAAAATATGAGATCCTTTTATGTGTAAGCCCCTACGTTTGTAATTTACAGAAGATAGCTTCATCTCTTGGGAACCATCTGTATTTCATTGGGATGCTCTTTTCTACCCAGGTTTATGACATGACTAATCGAAGCACTGGGAGATCAAGTGCCTCACTCAAGGTCACAGATCATTTTGGTAGCTCTGTCTCAAGCCTAGAGTTCAACATGACTGACTTTGTGATAACACAGCCCCTGTGAACTCCAAAACTAAAGGCAATACAAATAACTGTGTATGGCGTAATCAGTAAAATACTTTGTTGTTGTCGTTGTTGTTCAACATTCCCTTTTAAAAAAATATGTGGAGAGAGAGTACATGAAGAGTGACTAGGAAGGGAGTAAGTGAAAGAAAACAGTGTGTTCTGTACTCATAAAACAGTAACAAGGACTTGTACAAACTGTATTCATGCCTAGAGCTTGAATGTTTCAAAGTTGTTTCTACAGAGTGCCTTGTAATCACTATCCTCAGCATCCTGTTTAAGAGAAGCTATTAACTGCTTGCAGTACTTTCCTTCTATTTTTCAGTAAGATAATATGAGGCAAAGGCCAAGAGCTAATGTCAGGTTCTGTCCAAAGCACTTTTTTTTTTTTTTTAAGAAGAGGTCTGTTAGTCGATATTTTTGAAGTGGCAGAAAGGAAGCACCGGGGCAGTGTCCTTCCTGGCTCCGCACAGCTTCCTGCGCGCTTCCCTGCCGAAGTGTTAGTCAGAACGCTGCAACAATTCATGCTCAGCCTCCCACGCCATCGTCTGCCTGGCTTTGATTTTCTGAACTTGTACAATCGACTGATGGGTCTGTTCTCTGACTTAATGATGAGTGTACAGGTGGCAGAGCAAAGAGCCAGCAGAAATATCTTTGTGATTCAGAGATTGTGAATGATCTCTGTGTGTGCGTCTCTGAATACACCTGCCTTTTAATGCTATAGTAGACACGGTTGCGTAATGTACCCAGATTAAAGTCTACAGGGCTCTTGGATAAACCCGTTGTGGTTAAAAAAAAAATAAAAAATTAGAGTTGACTGCTGACTAAAATGCTTTCACGCGCACTTTTCTCATATCCCTGGTGATGAACTCTCTCCAGACTTCTTCCCACCTGTTTATGGCTTGGCTCTCTGGATCAGGTGCTGTTCCCATTGGCACCAGTGCAAATCCAGTTACCTGATGTAAACTAGAACCAGTTGGGCAGCTCAGGCTTCACATCGTTGTAGTCATTGTGGAGCCACAAGTTGTGAATGGAGTGATGTCTAGCACCATAATTTCCCGCAAATGGTGAAGGAGTCGCTGATTTTGCCTGTAGCAACAGCTGCTGAGAAAGGGAAGAGAAAAACCTCTGCAAGAACAGGAGGAGATAACAAAGGCAGTGTGCAGTCAAGAGTCAGTCAAAGAATCATGATTATCTTTGACTATATGTTCACTGAAAGAAACAAGCTTTTTGTTTTTCTGCCTCTTGTGGGTGTGCCTTTTATCACATGTCCTTTTTTAAAAAATATAACCAGCCTTTTTCTTCTCCCCTTTCTATTCTAATGGTATAGCTATTAGTGGCTTCATCTTAAGAACTAGTGTAGTAATGCAGTCCAATCTTCATTCTCTCTCAACCTTTTTTAAGTCCTTATGCTAATTTTGTGTTAAGCCCAAACTGTCTCATCAAAGAGAGCCCCACTGTTCTGACTTCAGTTGTCTCTGTGGTGAGAAACTTGTTTTTACCTTCCCATAGCTGAATGCATCAAGGAAGGCTAATACAGAGCCTCTCAAGAAACCAGTAGGCTTTTACTTTTCTTTAAGAGGACAGAGGATAACAGAGTTTGGGAAAGTTATACCCAGCAGTAATAGCGCTAATCCTCGGCACATTTATATCTGCTGTTCTAAGGGATCATACTGCTCTGCACCGTTGGGAGAGAGTGCAGGTAAATGTTTAGTGAGAAACTAGATATTGAAGCAAGAGATATGAAATGTTATGAGGACAAAAGGATTCTGCTGTTGTCAGAAACACCTGGTTCCTCGGATCAGCCAGGGTCAACGAAGCCACCTATGTTATCCTGCCACATAGATATGAAATATAGAATAGAAAGACATAGCAATTCCTACGAGATGACAGTTATTAGCACCTTCTCCATTACCCTGTTATTAGCTTGCCTTGCTGTTAGCAAGTCAGGCTCTATTCATGCATTTCAATAGGAATGGCTTTGTAACCAAGTTCTGCAGATGACTCCTGTAGTTTTGTGAGAATTAACTGTTATGTGACAGGAAACATTAAGAGTGGAGTGGATGCGTTGATGTACTCAATGATTTTACATTATTAAAATATTTGCTGTGCAGCTGTTTAACCAGATTTGTTGCTGCTTTTTGTTGTTATTGTTGTTGCTGTAGTTCAGTTCCTTATTTTCATGTCAGTTTTGATACAGCCAGAAAACTGCCCACATTGTTTTTGTACTTGGAGCAGTTTATTGTGTGTTTAGTGTATTTCCAATGCAATCTAAATGTTTGTGTTATTATAGTAGCTCTGACATGTTCACAAATAATATTATCTGGGATTTGATGAGTAACAACTGTTGATGGAATGCAAACTTGACCTGTATTAAAAAAAAGTTTCTTCCAGCCATCTTGGACACTAAAGCCTGTCTGGTACATCAACTTACTTTTGTACTCAGCAGCTGCTTTAGGTAGATTTACAGTAAGCCATGAAATGGAATCTCAATGAAGTGAGTGCCCACTCTGGGCCTAAACTTTTACATTTTGTCCCTCAGATTTTTAGCAGGAGACCTCGCCCACTCTATATCTGCTTCATCTACGAAAATGCTTCGCTTTTTTGCACAATATTGGAGACATATGAATCTGACAAATTACATTTGCTGTTAGTTTAGAAGAAATCTGTGAATATTGTAAATGAAAACGTGTGGATCTGTTTTACCGCTTTGTTCATGATTGTGTTATGTACCTTTACACAGTGGATGGTAACTATCAAGAAATCAAAACTGTATTTTTTATTGTTATTTATGTTCGCTTTTCATTATTTCAAGATAAAATTCTTCTAGTGCCCCAAGATGCTGATGGCATATGTAACACTAAAAGTCTACATTTGTCTTTTATATTACTATTTCATAATCCTAAAGATGTTAACACAAGGTTTCTTGGAATATTTATTAAAAAAATAGCCACTCTGCAGTACATACGTGACTGTGTTTTGTGGTGCTAAAGAATTTCTCTGTATCCTATTGAGGAAAAATGGTAGAAAAATAAAACTAGGAGAGAATTCACCTGCTTCAGCTCTCTGACCCAAGGCTTCTCATCTTGAGTATTCCTGACAGCTGCCTGTGGAAGTCTTTGAACTGTTTGGTACTGTACCATAGGACTTCCTGATTTTTTTCAATTTGCGTTAGTTTAGAGGCATCCCTGTTACTTTTAGGTTAAGCTGTGCTCTGCTTGAGAAGGCCCTGGTGCAGGGGCTTGTTCCCAAGATTTCTCATTGTTGCAAACTGTGGCTCAGCTGTGCTGTAGCTGCCATAAGCTGCTGTCTGCCCTTGCTGCTTTAAGCACTGTAATGGTTAAAACTTCTTCAAGGCAGTCTGTGGTTTAGTGGCAGGACCTGATAGTTTGTGACGACACACAAGTGTCAGTTTGAGAGGAGCTGTTCTGAGGTCGGCTGTGGTAAGAAGGTCACTCAGACGTAATGTGAACATAGCATCTACCTACAGCTACCTACAGAATAATATGTATTTTGGGCTTTTTCTTTCAATCTACTCTTTAATTTACTTTGCTGTTGCAAGACAGTAAAACCTTGCTTTTTGTTCTTTGGTGTTTATAGGTTGCTGCAAAGACGTAATGGTAATATTTTTTACAAAAGGTAACAGTTGTCATGCTTGTAAATCAGAATAATAAATCATGAAGTTTCTTATTTCTTTTTGGTGGGCTATTTCTGTCTGAGAGTTGCATTCCCTGTTCACTAGAAAAGACAGGTTTCCTGACCACTAAACAGCTTTTCCGCTTCATGTAAGTTGACACTTGTGTTTGCAGCACCAGAAACAGTGAAATCAACCAAAAGAAGTCAGGAGGGTTTTTTTCTTTTTTTAATGGTCTGTAAGGCACAGATAATTTATGCATCATCATCATCATCATCAGATTACATAGGAGTTTTGTTTCCTCTAGTGCAAACCAATTTCTTGAATGCTGAAATAAAATCCCTATTTCCAGCAATACTCAAGACTTTCAATTTTGCTTCTGCTGCCTCAGGAGATCCTCCTTCATGGAAAACTGATGGCAGGAGACATACATTTTCCAGAAGTTTTCTGCTGCCTTGTACAGCTTTCATACATGCTGCTTAAGTGTAAATTCATTTATGGAAGGTTTGCTATTTATTTCACAGGTGATAAAAGACTTCACCAGAGGTGAGATTTGACAACAGGAATCTTAGAAGATTGGATTTAATGACATTTTTTCACTCATTAAAATGAAAAGATTACAGTGCAGTTGTCTGAAGACAGAGTAAAACTTAATCCCTTTCTGCTACCTGTTTTGTTGTCCCCAGAGCGATTCATCCTCAGCCCCCTCTTCCAAGGCTAAGGATACAAAAGAGGTGGCCCTGGGATGTGATACTAGAATTGGGCTTGAAGTGGGGAGAAGGAGCATTTCAGGAGAAAGAAATTGCTTCATGAGAACTGTATTTGTGAGTTCTTAAACTATTTGTGTTCCCATCAGATCTTGCTCCTTCATGATTCAGATTCTCCCCTGGCTTAGTGCTGCAGTGAAATCATACTTCTGTGCTTCTGACATTACAGGCTGTTGCCAGCATAGAAATGATTGTGATAACACAAACCCACCAGGGATGGGCAAACTACTTCAATAAAAATAGCAACTGTAATGAACCTCAGCCCAAATTTTGAACTCCCCCCTGCCTTTTTTTTTTTTTTAAGCTGACATGATTTTCGTAAGTACCTCCCTGAAATTAATCATGTGGACTCTACAGTCTTGGCCGTCTTCACTGATCCAGCTGCTGTCCTCAAATCTGACAATTTCCATTGCTTCCCTTGGGTTAGAGGGAGTGAGTACATTTTGGGGTATACCTTTGACCTGAGGAATGCATGGGATGAGAAGACATCAGCCAGCTGAGCCCAAAAGAAAATGTGCCAAAACTGAGACTCCCCTGATAAAATATAGCTTGGACAGGGGAGCTCTTGGAAGCCAGAGGGAAGGAGCTGCTTTAGGTGCAGGGGAAGGGAGGATGAGGAAAAGAATGAAAAAGTCTGATTATGTTGGGAAGAATAAATTGAGAGTAGAAAAAAAGATATTTCAGAAGATTCCCACAAGCCCTGGAACATCCACACCACACTGCCAGACTGTCTCAGCCTGCGGTGTGAGTCCTTAGGGTGAGGACAAACAGAGCATTTCTGTATCACCTTGCACACTTTATGCAAAAGTGAAATTAAACAGCATTGTGGTTGCTGGGGTAATGTATCTTCTGTGTACATCTGTGGCAGGAAGTTGTCTTGGACTGTATAGGAATGAGTAAATGAATATGGCACAACTGATCCCTCATGGGCCTCAGTGCAGGGGCAGGCTGAGCACTCCTCAGGGAATGGACTCCAACATGTCAACGAAGCATGCAGCTCCAGTGCCCCTTGTACGTCAGGACCTTGAGAAATCCCTTATGCTTATGCTTAGGCCATGTTTGGCATAAGAGTTGTGAACCTGCTTTGCTGTACCCCAGACTGGTCAGGTATGGCAGTGCTTAAACGGCAGACTTGACTTGGCTCAGTCCTGGGTTTACAGAGCCATACAGCATTGGGATGCAACTGGCTCGTGCCTAACTCAGTGGAATAAGAGCAGAGAAGCAAGGGTCTCTCTCACTATGGAAATGCATCCCTATGAGTGAATTGCAGCCCCTGTTCCTGCAGTTGTCTGTGAAAGTTCAGCTGTGGGGACAAAATACACTTGCAAGAGGAAGCAGCTTGGTTTTGGACACAACTAGTGCAGTTAATTAGCACCTGTGAGGAGAATAATGAAAAGAAGCATGAAGAAGGTGAAGGAAATTTGCAATTAATTTGTTTGTGTGCTGGTGAGCTTTCCAGAGTGTGGAAGTTTCTCTTTAAGCCACGTACATGCTGCAGAGCAGGCATGTGGGAAAGGTTACAGTGAATTTGCCCTCACATAAGAATCACTTTAGAGCAAATAACAGTCCCAACATGAGAAAATTATTTCAAGCCATGAGAAGCTGAAACATTTTTCAAGGACTCGTCAGATCTGTTTTCCGCATTTCTTTTCTTTTTTTTTTCACGTACTTAGCTTAGGTAATATTTACAGTTTTAGGCATTTTGTTTATTGGCCAATGTGTTCACTTTAATCAAACTATCACATGCCATATCTGCCTTGCTGAGGTCTATATTACATGTAATTAGGGGGTAGCTTTTTAGTGCGCTCCTAGCATGAAGTGTGCTGGCCTTTAGAAACTGTGCTTCTTCATGACTCTAATGTTTAATTGCATGCCAAGTGTGAAAATGAATCTGTTCCATATAAAAAAATAATAGTATATATACAGTGCCATTGATCTCCCATTTCAAAATATGGTTAAAAGCTATACTGAATAAATCCATAGCAAGCACTTCCGGATGTTTTTCCTCTGACTAATGGAAGGTTTGCTTGTGCTTGACAGCACAGAAGGGGCTGCCAAGATGGTGGTGAGGGAGGAAGGAGGCAGGAGCCCAGGGCAGTTCCCATGGGTCTGGCAATAAAAGGTGCCTAAACCTCCTTATTTCTGCCCTGGCAGCCTCATGATCAGTGCCATCACCCTCTGGGCTGCCCAGGGAAACTTTGCTGTGGTGTCACCATCCTACAGGGGCTTTCTGGGCTGTCTACAACTGGGGCATCTGCTCAGCTTGCCTAGCTGGTGCCAACCACATCTCCAGGGGTGCCTTGTCCCTCCCTGCAGCAGCCTTGTCTCAGAAGTTGCAGTGTGCTGGAACTGTGAAAAACTGTGTCTGTGTGAAAAATTGGGAGTAATGGCTCTTCCCTTCTCCTCCCTTCTTACTGGCCACTGCCAGGATCAACCATGGGCAGATGATCACTGGACACAGGCAATTTTCAGAGAGCCTGGGCATCAAAGGTAGATATGATATGGACTTGTTAATTCATCTATTTTTTCCATTCTGGAGGATATCTTGCTTTTAAATAGGTGTGTGCTCACAGGGTACTGTCAAGGCTTCTTGAACACTGAAAAAGAGAATTAATTTCTGACTGCAAAACTAAAATCTTGCCTAGTTTTATCCACACTTCTTTTTCATCCTTCATGTCTTAAAACTCTAAGTAATGTTCAGGTGCTCAGTAACCATTTTTCAAGAGGTGGAGAGAGGCCAGCATGTTTCAGAGCTCTTAACTGTGCATGTGAAATTAATGGATGCTAAACTTTTAGAAGTACACTCTGAGGCCAATAATTTGTACCTGCAGAGGAGGAGTTTCATGTTTAAATGATAATTTAGCCATTACATCAGGACTTTGGAAGTTAGACTTTTATTCCGCTTGGGGTAATTTCAGAATTAGGTCACGGTGGGATCAATTCTGGACCTTCTTCCCACAGGCTGTTCTTTTCCATGTTCAAATACCGTCTCAGTAAACCCACATGGTTGTTAGTTGTGGTTGCTGCTGCAGATGTGTAAACTGGGGAATCTAAAGGTCAGGCCCCCATTCTCCCCCAGCGGGTCTGCTGTGCAGGAGTATCGAGATCAGGGGGACTGTGGAGGCAGCTGAAGCTGGTAACACGGTTAGCTTCAAGGACCTAGCAGGGTAAATTCTTGCCACTTTTTGAACATTTACCCAGGAACCTTGTATATTTTGACTAGCACTGTTCCAAATTCAGCATATTGTCCATGAAACAACTTGGATTTATATATGAAGGATGAATTCAAGCATTGTGAATTGTAATCCTACTGTATGCATAGCACATGATTTTTAATGCAGCACTGTGACAGAAATTAGGGGTAAACTGTAATATACCAGGCTGATAAACTAGATGTGTCCCCATAAAACTTCAGTCTGGTCACAACCTCTGTATGCCTTTTTAACTTTAAAAATCACACAAAAAAATTGTCCTTCTCCTTAGTTCTTACTAGTCTCTGTTGATAGGTGCATTCATGCATGACCCATAGGTGACAGACACTTCCAGTCCTGGGTGTGGAGTCTAACTCTTCTGGATTGCTTGTATGACTACATCTCTCTCCTCTGTTAAAAAGTTCTATAATCCATCTGAAAGGAGTTCAGTGTTCCATTAGTTACTTGGTACCTCACTGTGCTTCTGATTTTTTCTTTTCTACTAGACTTTATCTACTGTGTTTTATTTATTTCAGAGACTAAAGGTACAGATTTTGAAGTCATATTTTTTCATGTATTTCTTTTAGTGTTGTTGAGAGCTGGAGTGCATCAGCAAGACAACCAAATTGCTGAGTGACTTTGGTACCCGAATGTCTTAATTAATCCTGTTAACAAAAACATTTCTTGGAGGTAGGGCGTAGGGACTTGGGAAGTAAGGAATACAGGGGAGATTGAATAAATGTGCATACCATGTCAGCTCCCAAGGTCTGGCTGATCTGCTCATCATGCAGTTTGAAGAGGAGAGGGAAAATTCGATGCTAAACATTTCCAGGCCTAAGACTACTTTGTGCTGGGCTGGTCCCTTAGAGTATGGCTGCTGTACCTGTGATGGTTACCAGTATGCTGAGGTAGGAAGGACGGTGGCCAGCTGTGTAGGACATGCTACTACTCCCTGATTCCTTGCACAAATGGTACCTCCTGCTGTGATGCTGAGGAATTCAATGTCACACCTCCTCACACAGGTTTGCCCCTACACTGCTATGGCATTGCTGGCTGAATCTTCCTGAAACAGGAAACATTGCTGCGAAAATAGCTACG